TCATCAGCTTCATCAGGAGCTGGGGGCAACCTGGCTTCCACCACACCACAGACAACAGCTGGGTCCTCTCTGACCTCTCAGATGCTGTGGGGGCTGGTGGGATGGTTTAACATGTGCTTTCCTCCATCCCAGAACTGTGGTCCAGAGACAATTTGCTTCCCCTCTTGCTGTGGGAGATTCTATGGTACTTGCATTTCTACTCTGTCTCAGTAAAAGAATATTCTCCATGATATATTTATTATTTTAAGAAACAAAACCCACTGCTTTAAAGCCTACTGATTTGGCTGCAAATAAACATTGTGAACTGGAGCAGCATCTGAATTTCTGAAGCAGTAAATCCAGCTCTCATCTACAAAACTGACAGCTCTCATAAAAGAAAGAAAGAAAAAAAATGCAAGTAAAACATCCTAAGGAAATTATCGTTCAAATTAACTACAGACATAAATTTATCCATCTGTTATCATAAGTGTTACTTGAAAATTATTTGCCCATAAAAATGAAATAAACCAGAGTGGTTTTTTTCTTAAACATTGACTTCATGTGTATGCTCTTAGCTGCCAAAATATTAACTCATTTTAACAGCCCATGTGCTCTTGGCTGTGTGTCTCTTTCTTGACTGTAAAAGGACCTTTATAAATTGTCTGTATAAATGATGTCTAAGGCACTTCACTGTTATTCCAGATCAATAATTCCAAGTAAACCATCAGGATTTTCAAAACACAAAACCCAAGCAAATGCCCAAATTTTACTTGGAAGTAGTCTATTTAGCTACCTTTATTCATTCAAAGGGAAAAGTTATCCTGCCCATTAGATGAAAAATATCATTTAACTGCACAAACAATAACTGCTGTTTCATTCCTAGGGTACAGTTACTGTGAATACAGGTATGGTGAGATTTTCACATTAAGTTTGAACATGGTAAATGCTGGCAGGAGTGGAACAAAGTCTTCCGAACTGGGTACAGAGCTGGGTCTCTTTTACCCAGAGCCTGTGTTTTTCTTGGAGAAGAGAAAGAAATGAAAGTAGAAAGAATAAATGGCTATTTTCACTTCTATGTGTTTTATAAGGGAATAAATTAAAAGTCTGAATTACTCCAATACATTTAAATAGTAAGTAAAGTAATGGAATACAGAAAAGGTGGAAATCTATTGAAAAGTCTATTTTTTATTTTTAAGAATGACAGAAAACTGAAAAGTTTCTTTCAGAATTCTGTAATTTGTTTGTTTGTTTGTTTTAATAATTTTGACTGGAACAAAACCCCCCATGTTTGAACAGCATAAAAAGACTTTGCTTCACTTTATGAAAAACTTTTATTTCAGGTTGCTTGGATATTCAAATATCTGTCCCTGCCCACTCCTGTGTCCCCAGGATTTGTCTGTTGAATGTTTCACAGCTTGGTGCTGTTCCAGGCCAGACTCAGAACCAGCTCTCCTCTGATGCACCACAAAGTCTTTGCAGCACAGCTCTAAGTGGCACGTGGTAAAACAGTTTACAGGGAGCAATGATACCCAAGCACCTGGATTTTGACTGGCAACTGCAAAAATGGACTTGTTTTTCCAAAAGAAAACACAAAAATTCTGTTTTCCACAAATGCCACAAAAACTGTCAGCGGAAAGATTTTGATCATCCTTCTTTCTAACAGGAAGGCAGGATGAAGAAGGGAGAAAGTCTATGTATAAAATAGCTAATAACCAGCCATAATCATGCAGAGTTGCTCAACTAAAGTAATTTGCTTGCTGTACTCCAGTCAGTTTAATGGCCACATCTTCCACCTCTGAGCTGAGTGGGTGTTTCCTGATCTCCAGATCTGCTGGGACCAGGGTGTGGAACCTGCCCCTACAGGGAGATTATTTAGATCTGGTCAGAGGGGTGGCCACATCTCCCTCCACCTGGGTGAGCTATGTTATTTTCTGATGGCAAAGTGCATTTTTTGTTATGGGGACAGGGCTTTACACTCTGCCATATTTCAACCCAGGAGGGATTTCTGACCACACCACTTTCTGCTGACAGACCCCTGCATCTTCCAGCTGAGTGGCACCAGGCTCCTGCACCACCAGACTGCCAGGATATTATCATCATATTTCTCCTTTGAAGCCACTCACTGGATTTGTTTGTGTTTCTTTTGTTTTTTTCCAGTTCTACAGTCATGGAGCAGGACACACTGAGCCAAACCTGACTGCAATTTGCAAAGACACCTGTGTGGTGCCTTCTGCCTTAGTCAAATTTATTATACTAATTCATTATGGGGTGCTACAGAACTACCCATCCATGGCACTGGGATCTTACAATAAGCTGAGGATGATGCCCCAAGAGAGCAACAGAGCCTCAGGTGCTGCATGCAGCTGTGCAAAAGCCAAGTAAAATTTCACTACAGCAGCACCCACAAGGTACAGCTCCCTGCAGGGAGGCCACCAGAGGAACAGGCAGGGCTCTGCCTCGGGAGCACTGTTTTCTGGGAGAGATCCTATTTCCCAGCCCCTTGGCTCCAGTTATACCTGGGAGTAACAGGATACCTCTGAGTCCATATGAATCATCCTGCAGGGCTTGGGGCTCCCTCCTAGAGAAGCCCTGGTCTGTAAAACTGCATTTGTTGAAGTGTTTCCAAGGTGCTTTTCTCATAACAGGCTTATTTTCATTCTTAGGAAAATACTTATTTTCCTAATTTTATTTGGCAGCACAGTTTTATCCGATTCTTCCTTTCCCAGAAACTATGATGGAGATTATGAAATTTGGAAAACAATTTATAATACACATATATAATTTAATTACTATTCATTCATTAGTTCCAATATCCTCTGAATTAAGGGATTAATGCAGAGATCATGTTTGGCATAAAGGCCAATATCTTCTGAAGCACATTGTCCAGAATAGTTTTTTTTCAAATTATTTCCCCTTCACCATATAGTCTTAGAGATGCAGAATCTTAAATTGCACTGTTCTGGGAGCAAATAAACTCCCACAGACACTATCATGCCTATCCTAACCGAAAGTGCATTCCTAAAATTTTGTACTTCAGAATTCATGGGAATATGTGAAAGCCTAAACTTTCAGCAAAAACATCCTTTACTTTTATAAAAGGTGAAACCAAACCCTCAAAGTTTTATAAAACAATTTGAATTCATGACCCAAGCACATATGAAAGAAACCCCTCAAAATTAAAGAACTAGATATAAATGAAAAGGTTTATCAGTAAAACCCACTCTTCTAATTCAGTGCATGGGGGAAAAGAGGAAACAAATCCTCCAGGAAAAAAAACTGCATTTGAATCATATGAGGAAATGAACTTGCCTGCACTTTGATCACATAAAAGTTTTGGCACTGAAAATAATTAATAATTTTCTTAGTGTTCACTGCATGGAGAAAAAAAAACAAACCCAGAGAAGAAAGCAGGAAGTAATTGTACTTGAAGTAGGAATAGCTTGCAGGGATGGCCCAACCTGGTGAGAAAAACCAAAGGGATGCTGGAACAAAGAACCCAAAACAAAAAGCTTTCCTCGGCATCTCCCACATCCCAGTTTTCAATAAATCCGGCTGCGCGTGTCTGTTCTATCCTGCCACGCTCAGTGCTGGGGAAACAAAACAACCCAGCAACAAAGGCAGTTTTCAACATCACCAGAAATGGGCCTAAAAGACAAAATGAGACTTGCTCTTTATGAGCCAGCTTTCCCAAGGGATGGTCCCTGGGAGTTTCAGGTAGGTGCTCTCTGAGGGGAAAGAAAGCTCGAACCTCCCAGAAGTTAAAAGTGCCTTTCTAAAGAACTTAATGTGGAATTAACATCCACTGGCTTAATTTCACTTGTGTTATTAGCACAAACAAATAGCTGCAGTGGATTGGAGCCATGACCCACCTAGTCCATGGTCTGTAGCTGATGCGCAGTTTATCCTCTCAGCTCCATTTATGTATTGGTTCAGGGATTTCCAAAACTGGAAGCTGTTATCTAAGCCATCATGTTTGATAATCTCCAATAAACCTCACTCCTTGGGTTAGACAGGCTGGTTTTTATGAATGCCTGTCCAACTATGAGCCATCATGATGTATTTTCCTACTGTAAAAACAGTTAAGCAAAACTCCTTGGCCAGAAATATCAGCCAAGCCTGAGATTAAATAAGCTTGGGAAAATTCAGTCTGGATACACTCAAAAAATAAATACATCAAAATGCACGTGTCTCTGCTAAAACCCGCAGTCTTTAATCAAAATTCCCACTGAAGTGAGTAGCAAAAGGTGAATTGTTGCCAAAGGTCATAGAGAGAGCCATGGGATGAGAAGAAAAGTTCTGTCAAAAATGAGAAATTTCCAAGGAAAGGGAGCAGGAGGAGCAGATCAGTTCTCAACACAAATCTCAGGCTGCCTTGAAGTCGAGGGAGCTCAAAGACACTTAAGCTGGTGCTCAGGATTCTGCTGAGCTGGGGCCTGAATGGTTATTATTTATACTCTTATCACACAGAAATGTGAATTCCATTGGAAAAGGGAAAAGAAATAAAAAAAGGGAGAGAAAGGACAATAGTGTGTATTGCTGCAGGCTCACAGTACTGCAGACATCTTTGTTCTGCAGACTTCAGGAAGAAGGACACTTTGTATTTTCATTTAATGGTTTAAAAAGCTGCTATTTAGTTACACACACAACTCATGCACTTGTGCACAGCCCCAAACCAGCCAGTCTGTACAGACACACCAACATTTTCTACACCTGTGGCCGAGTAGCCCACAGGTCTGGGAAGGAACAAACAAAACAGCATGAAAAGTGCTTACAGCTTCACATTTCTACAGCCAGATGGAAAACAAAGTGAGTGTAGCCTGTCTGCAGCCTGGCTGGACCTAGACCCACCTCCTGCAACAACTCACTCCATTTTAGAAGTGGGTCTAGACAAACAAAAGTCTTTCTGCTTCAAAGGGAAGCCTCATAAGAAATCTTCCCACAGGCCCAGAGACCTGAAGCATTCTAAACACTTTACTTCCAATCATGGTAATGGAATAAAATAGAAAAAAATCATGCCATACCTGCCCCAAAGGCAAAGAAGAAGCTCTTGTCTCTGTTCTCCCTTAGTAGTGACATCACTCTTCTCCCCATCCTCTCATTCCTCTTGTAGATGAGCTCCTGTCTGAAGTAGCTGTCTATTTCCTGAGCTGTCACCTGCTCGTGGGGTGGGAGTGTTGTGTTGATGAAGTTTGGGACCTGAAACAGAGAGAGAGAGGCCACAGCCCAGGTGGCATTGGTTAAGGAACCCACAAAACACTACATGTTTTAATGCAGCCTTCTTTCAGCCACCTGAGCAGCACTATCACACAAAAAACCACTAGAGGATCAAAGCATAGGAGGTTGTTAAGAACTCTCTCTCAAAAAAAAAAAAAAGGTAAAGAAAATAAATTCCCAATGAATATACATTCAAAAGAGTGAAACTAGTATTTTACTAAAGACCACTTTAGTTAATTTTGATTTTTTTTCTGTTCCTTCATCAAAATGTAGTTTCAGGCATTACATTTAGGTGATTTACTTGGACCTTTATTCTCTGTTTGTTCCAAAAAAATAATTGTCTGTTTAATACCAAATTCCTGTGATCTGTTCTCAGCTGAGGTCACCATGAACCAAGTAAGGACTGTAAGACTTGGCTTGTATATGTGGCTTTTTAAGAACTTAACAGTTTAAAAAGAAGAAAAGACAGCAAATACAGACACAGGAATATGCACACAGGGCAAATATCCTTACATGCTATTAGGTCTCACCAGAGAAGACCATGCATAGCAACACATAAACCCCTGGAACATTCCTGATATATCTGAGGAAGAGATTTCCACAAGCACTGCTCCGTCAGTCCCTGCTTTTGTGAGGAGAGATGATCACAGGCACAGCACAAAGGACACTGGTCAGGGCAGCAGACACAGGAATGAGCCAAGATCCAAGCTGTAATGGATAGATGAGCCAGAAGTCTCTGATTCTTAGGACAACAACTTATTTTGACACAGTCAAAACCCCAGGTCTCCCACCAGGGTTTGGGAGCCCACGTGCCCTGCAGAGAGAAGAGCTGTAAGGGGCCGTGTTTGATGACTGCTAACAGGACCTAGCACATTGTGGTGATTTTCCGTGCCTCACCACTGCAAAGCAGCTTAAGCTGCAAACCCCAGATTCAGATTTCTGAGTCCCTAGGCACAGGTAAAGCTGCCAGGATTTCCAGTGTTAATCTGAGTTGGTGGTAATGACATAGCATGCACAGCCCATGAGGGGAACATCCCTCACTCGCTGTGCTGAAACACTTGGTGCAGTGACTCTGTTACTTGGGTTAATTCCATCTCTGGTTTTCTACTATACAAAATCCCTGCATGCATTTTCTAAAACTTGCTTTTAATTTTTGTTTTTCAGCCCACATCTTCCCGTTCCATTTGGTCACATGGTTTTATCACACCAATTTTTGTCTCTTCCCACCTTCTTTGCTCATAATGCTTCTCCAAAAGTTTCCAGCAAGTCTTAGGAAGAAAAACTGATTTCCATCTTCCCAGTGACTCTCCTTAAAGCTTTTTCATTGCAGCCCCACCTGCATCACTCCTAATATATGTGAGGGACCAAGCAGCAGAGATTTCTCACCATGCATTTTGCAGGATGAGTCTCACTCATGGATGGATCCACCTTACTCTGGATTCACACTAAAGGCTGTTCTCAGCTGTGTGAGACAGAAAAGGGGACCACATCTCCTGAACCAGGGCATCCTGAGGGGATGGAGATAACACTCCATGTCAAGGACCCTGCCCCAGCCTTTTGGATCTCACAGACCAGCTGGACCTTTGACTTCCCAAACTGCTTCTCAACCTGCTTTGCCAAGTCACGGTGCTCCTCACAGCATGTTCTTCTTCAAGCATTCAGTCATATTACCCTGAGTCATTCCCTTCCTCCAGGCTTTCCAGCAAGGCTTGGCATCACCAGTGTAACTTGTGAACTCCTCAGAGCACACAAGTACTTTGCACCTTGTTCTCAGTTTAGCCCTGAGCCAGCACTCAACAAGTAATAAGTCCCATTAAGTCAGACCTACTGGAGACACCAGTTTCCTGTGAAAACCCAAGGAAGTTGCCTCCATGTCTGGCAAGAATACGTGTTTGTCTCTAAGGGATGGAGAAGCAGACTGACGGTGTCAAAGAGATAAAATGCTGCTGGCTACAGCAGCAAAGGACATAGTTGCTTCCATTCCTGCTGAAAAACAGGGAGAGATTTATATTGCAGGAATAAAGTCTGAGGAATGAGTAGCCATTTTACACTTGCAGTAACCTTAGTAATGGAAAGCTGCAAACCAGGTCCTTGGACATACCACAAACTTTTGCATCTCCTCTGTGCTGGGGCTCTCAGGCAGGAGTCAGGGAAGCCTTTAGGCACTGAAGTGGAAGGTGAAATTTTCTGGAAGCATCTGAAGGCTCAACACCCACATAAGAGAAGTCTCTTCTTCTCAGCTTCTGGCTGAAGGGAAGTGAAGGCTGGGACCTGGTTTTGAATCACTTGAAATGGTTTGGGAAAACAAGGAAAGCCTTGCCTGTGAGCATAACATGCTCCTACATAAAGCAGGAGCAGCTATGCTGGGGGACCAAGCAGCTCTGTGCATCCCACTGGTGATGGAGGTCTAGATAGCCAAAACCAGATGTTGTATAAGGTCTTTGCTAACAAAGGAAGCAAGCACCTTTCACCTCCTTGTGCAACTCCATCACTTGCAATCCTATATTGACATTTAACCTATAGCTTATTCCTTCTCTTTATCTAACCTAAAATACAGTACACAGACCAGAGGCAGACTTGCCTTTTTTCCCCCTTCCCCTTCTTTCCTTCTCTTTTGTGGGAAAAAGTTTGCCAATGGCAGAGACATAAACTTAGACCCAAGGACTGGGCTTCGTCAATCTTTCTTTTGCTTGCCCAAGGAACAAGACAGAGGAAGGCAAAACCTAGAGAGGCACAGCACCAGCCACAGGTCCTGCTGCACTGTGTGCATTCTGCATCTCTGCTGGCTGGCAGGAATAAAGTCTACATGTGTGTTTCAGCGTGTGTGTGGCAGAGGACAGAAGATAAATGACTTGCAGTAAGCATGCCCCTACACAGTAGAGCAACCACACTCCGAGCTGTGACACTTGCCCCATTAATCAGCTCTGCTCCTCCCTGCATCCAGGTCCTTTCCACAGTCAGTAACACACCATGCCTGGCTACAGGGAGACAGCTGCTCCTGCTGATTTAAGAAACCCTTAAACCAGACAGGAATCAGGAAATCAAAAAAGTCACATGCAATTAGGAAACTTTTAACTGGAGCCAAAATTAATGTTTAGGGGGTTTTTTGGAAAAGAGAAGATCTGTTATTTTAAAAGGATGGGCTAAATATGCACAAAAGGATGCACCTTCCCCCTTCTACTTTAATTTTGCTTTAATTCTGTGAAGAAATTAATTTTAACATTTTAATGACATGAATCCGTTGTTTTTGAGCTGAGAGTGAATGGATGGACATCTGCTGTGCCCCTGGATAAGGGACTGATCTAACAATAGCTGAATATTGCTACCAGTATTTAGATGTACAATGGAGTGGATGATGTGTGTGTTGAAAGATCCAAACTTCTAATTTTGCTGTTCACCTAGGAGAGTAACAGCTGGATCAGCAGAAAAATGCATCACCTGGGGTGTGCTCACTTCTAGTGGATACACATGACAAGAGATAAATAGATTCTTTACATCCAGTCTCTGCAAGCTGTGCAGTTTTCTGAGAACCCAACCACCTCATATTTATATACAATTCTAGTGGAAATTCAATAATGTATCTCATTGAGATGTTCAAAATAAATAATATTTTGTTTTTCTTAATAAGGTAGCACTCATTCTTTTCTCTACTTTGATTTCCTTTAGGTTACAGCTCTCCTATGGACAGTACTGATGGGCCACAAACTCAGTCATTAGGTTTTCTCATTTCTCAGTTAAACTTTTGAGGTTAAAGAAAGAGACTATGAGAATAAAAAAGAAATCCCAGCCTTGCAAAAATTTCTTCCCCTCCCCACTGTCTGGGCAGTTTTACTTGAGTCAGTATCCCTGATGGAATATATGTGTGGATAAAGCTCTGTACACACGTCTGAGCTCACAGTGCTGTGGGATGCGGGCCATAATTCTTCACCTTTGAAGTCAGTGGGAGCTTTAGGGAGAAGAAAGAGGAAGGATTGTGGAGTGGTTATGACACTACCCTGAAAAAATGGTTCTGCTCCCATGGGTGATACAAATCTCTTACACAATCACAAGCATGTCATTTGGGTTTAAACCTTCAAAGGAAACTCAGCACTTAACCTCCACTAAGTGTCTTTGAAGCATTTGGCTTTATTCCTCTTGTCTCTCAAAAGTCCATCTGTAAAATGGGGACAGCAAGACTTTCTACCTTGATGTTACATACAAGGCACTGGCTCAGTCTAGCTCTGGAGGGACCCAAAGGAAGATCCAAAGTCCAACACAGTGCTCAGCAGTAACCTCTCTTCCCATAAATTTCCACTGAGGCTTGGATTCTGCTGCAGTCATTAGCATAAGAGCTAACAAGATACTTCAGCTTAGAAAAATGCATCAGCCATAACTCAAGATCTATGCTATGCTTTCAGCTTTGTCTGTAGAGACAGAGAGAAAGAAAAAAAAAGAAAAAGAGAAAAGCAAAATATATTGGTGCAGAGTCTTTTATCACATTTAGGGCTTACTGCCAAAGTTCAGCTGAAAATTCATGGACACAGGACTACATTAAAAGTACATTTTTTTTATTTACTCTTTTTTAATATTTGGACAAATATTCTGGGCAGGGGCACAATGCCAGAGTTGAGAATATCTATCTACAAATAATTTTTTTGGACTCACATAAGCACTATCATCTTTGATTACATTTTTTTTCCTACTTTGCATTTATTGGCAAAAGTGGAACTGCTCTATACTCAGTCCAGTATAAAATCACTATAATATGTGGAGTAACAGTGCTATCATTCCTACTCCTATGCACTACATTTCCCAATCCTCTGATAACCTTGTTTAGCCTCTTTCTGTTCCAGTGAAGAAAGTGTATTTCTGGAATGTGCATTCAAATTGTATTATTATGTCAATCAAAAACCAACATCACCAACACTGGACTAAAGAGATGTGTGCCTTTCCTCACCTGCTTGTGGGCAGAGGTGATCTTCAGCCATAATTCTACTTGCAGA